TCTAGACGATAAGCTACCTGACCAATGCGCTTCAGAATCTGATAAGGCCCATAATAGCGGACGCCTAGTTTAGTTGCAGCCCTTTGTGCTGTTGTGCGCTGTCTGAAAGGTCGTAGCTTTAGGTAGACATATTCACCTGGTACAAAATTTTCCTCACGTCTCTTTCCATCGGCGAAGGCTTTGGTTCGATACATTGAACCTTCGAGATTTTTCTTCAACTCTCGCAACATCAAATCTCGTTTATGGAGTTCTCGACCAACCTCATCATTGACCGTACTTCCCTCTGAATAGTTGACCAATGTCGGAGGTTTACGCCCGTACACCAGCTCGAATGGTGTCATATTGGTCGACTCATGATATGTGGTGTTGTACCAGTACTCAGCCCAAGGCAAGAAGTTTTCCCACCTCTTCGGAAATTGATGGACATAGCACCTTAAGTACTGCTCAAGAGTTTGGTTGGTTACCTCAGTTTGTCCGTCTGTCTGTGGGTGGTAGGTTGAGCTCATAGATAACTTGGTCCCTTGAAATTTAAAGAATTCAGACCAAAAGCTGCTCATAAAAATCTGATCTCGATCCGAGACGATGGATCGTGGTGCCACATGCAGCTTCATTACGTAATCCACGAATAGCCTGGCAATCGACTTAGCAGTGTAAGGATGAGTGATGGGTATGAAGTGAGCATACCTTGTGAGACGATCCACCACGACCATAACACCGTCGAATCCATTAGAACTCGGTAACCCTTCTATGAAATTCATAGTAATGTCTTCCCAGATTGCCTCGGGTACTGGTAGAGGTTGCAGCAGACCGCTCGGCCGTCGTGAGTTGACCTTAGTACGTTGACAATCATCGTACCGTGCTATGTAATCTCGGACGGTATTTTGCTGCCCTGGCCAGAAGAAGGTATTGGCTATCCTTATCCATGTGCGGTAGATACCCGAGTGACCTCCAATCTTAGAATCGTGGAAGTGCTGCATCATTTGCTCACGTAACTGCCCCCTGTCGGGAACGAACACCCGGCCTCGGTGTAGGAGTAGTCCATTGTGCAACTCATAATCAATAGCAGTCGTCTTACCGGCTACGATCGCTTGGCGCAAGTCCTGGCAATAGGTGTCCTCCTCTTGCGCCTTCTTGACTTCCTCCCAAATAGCCCAAGCTGGCCTAGTGATAGCATTAAGCTCGACTACATCCATCCATCGGGATAACGCGTCAGCTACTGCATTCTGTCGACCTGGCCAGTAGACTATCTCAAAGTCAAACCCCATAAGTTTGGAAACGAACTTCTATTGCTCGGGGGTAACAATCCTTTGCTCGAGTAGATGCTTGAGCTGCTGCTGGTCGGTCATAATCCGAAAGCGTCGCCCCAACAGATAAGGCCTCCAACACCTTACAGCCTCGACAACTGCTAGCATCTCCTTTACGTACACAGATAGACCCAATCGAGTAGTGCCCAGTGCCTTCTGAGATAGGCCAAGGGTCGTCCTTCTTGTACCAGCACTGCTCCAATCCCAATGTCACTCGCATATGTGTGTACCTCGAACAAGACGTCAAACCTTGGCATGGTGAGCACTGGCGTTGTAGTCATAGCGATCTTTAGTTTCCCAAATGCGTCTTCGCTAGCCTCGGTCAATGTGAACCCGCCTTTCTTAGTCATCTCCGTCAGTGGCTTGACGATGGTTCCATAATCCTTCACGAACTTTCTGTAATAGCCCGTAGGTCCTAGAAATCCTCTTAGCTGTGTGAGACTTGTCGGTTTAGGCCAGTCGACCATAGCCTCAATCTTTCGTGGGTCAACCTTCACACCTTCGTGGGATATGAAATGCCCTAGATACTCAACCATCTTCTGCCCGAACGAACATTTGAATGGCTTGATATGAAACGAGTTGGCCTCCAAGATTTCGAGCACCACTCTCAAGTGCTCAAGATGTCCAACCCACGACTTTGAATAAATTAGGATATCATCGAAGAATACCAAAACGAACTTACGCAGATACTTCTTGAAGATGGAATTCATAGCAAACTGGAAAGTGGATGGGGCGTTGCATAGTCCGAATGGCATAACCAAATACTTATAGTGCCCTTGGTGCGTACAAAATGCTGTCTTCGGAATGTCGGCCTTGTGGAGTTGAATCTGATGATAACCGGCTCTTAGGTCGAGCTTTGAGAAGTACCTTGATCCAGCTAACTCATCGAGCATGTCGTCGACACTCAGAATAGGAAATCGATCCTTGATAGTCGCGGCATTCAGGGCTCGATAGTCAGTATAGAACCTCCACGTGCCATCTTTCTTTTTAGCTAATAGTACTGGAGAAGAAAACGGACTCTTACTATGCTGGATTAATCCTGACTCTAGCATCTCAGCCACTTGCCGTTCGATCTCGGTTTTCTGAAAGTGAGCATACCTATAGGGGTGGACGTGTATGGCATGCTGCTCATTGATTAGTGGTATGCGATGATCGAACTGTCGGTGTGGTGGTAGTCCCTTAGGTTCGCCTAGTACTCCCTCAAACTCCTCGAGAAGATTGCACACATCTCTCTGTTGTTGCTCGTCCTGGTCTATGTGCGCTTTAGTGTTCTCGACCACTACTGCAAAAATTTAGCCGCCACCTCGCCAAACTCTTTCTATGCTTTTCAGCCTTACTTCCTTAGTACCTTTTTCACTGCCCGTAATCAGAGTGACTTGTCGCCTCCAGAGTTGAACTCCATAATTCCTGTTCGATAGTCGGTAGTCACCTTGCCTAACCCTTCGAGCCACTGCACTCCTAGAACGACATCCGGTCCAACTAAAGGTAAGGCATAGAGGTCAACCTTAACAGTAACTCCGCTGAACTTGATTGGCACCTTCTGGAATGACTCAGTACATTGTAGCCTTTCTCCATTGGCCACTCAAACTTCAAAGGGCTTGATTTTTGTGGGTGGCAATTTCAACTTTTGAGACAAATCAACATTGATGAAATTATGTGATGAACCGTTGTCTACAAGTACAATTACCCTTCGATCTTTGACCCATGTCGGTAGTCGCATCGTTCTTGGTCCTCTGATTCCAGCCATTGCATGCATCGAGATTTTCGGCTCCTCATCAAATGCGTGAATCTCATTCTCCTGATGTGGTTCCTCCTCGACCTCAGCTTCCTCATCGTCAAAGTTGGCCACCTCAATTACAGAGGCCTGTTTGCATTGATGACCGGTGGTAAACTTTCCTCGCACTTAAAGCAGAGGCCTTTCTCACGTCCCCGCTTGACTTCTTCAGACGACAATCGCCTGACTACTGGCCCCGATGGTCGTGTATTGAAGGCCGGTCTCACGCCCGTAGATACTTGGCCCGGGCCCGTGCGACGCGTGTCGGAAAACCAGGCATCCGCCCGTCCCCTTCGCGTCGTAACCAGGTGATCTTCGCGTCGTCGGGCAACCTCCATCGCGTCGTGCATGGTGTTGGGCCTCTCGAGTTGAACCTCTGCTGCTAGGTCAAATTTTAACCCTTCTACAAACTGTGACGCCCCGTTCGTTTATGAATAATTTGGATTATTGTTATTATTATTATTATTATTTTATCGTTAATTGTGGCTACTATTATTATTGGTAATTAATTGTCTACAATGCTTAAATGATTTTATGTGCCT